CAAATTTTGAACTTAAGCTTTAATCCATCCTGCGATGAGCTAATTGAAGTTTGGGCACAGTCAAAGCATCTGGGGAATACTTTACAGGGTGTCGTTTTTTTTTTACTTTAAGAAAATAAATAGTCTGGATCGAATTTTTTTAGGCAACCCATTTGCGGTATATTTAAAAACATATTTTATTTAATAAAAAAAAAAGTTTCATCCATTAAACAGATGGGTAAAGGTCGACCTTACTTCGGATCTTAGACTAATACAAGCTTTCGGCACTTATTTTATAATAAAAATACTCTTAACAAGTTTATCACAGAGACACGTCGTCCAAATTGTCTTTCGAAGCCAAAAAACGATCTTTTTAAAAACGAAAACAAGACGTCAAATGAAATGTCATTTATCACAAATATGCGCGTTATTTAAATTCGCCAATCATAAATCGTCGGGTTCCTAACTCACCAATCATAATGCGTTGTGTACCTAACACCGAAGGGGTTCCCACCTCAGTACATAACAAACACATTTGAGTAACACCTCTTGTCTTATATGCTCTAAGTGTTGTAACCTCATAATCTAGATTAATACCTCAGATCACATACAAAATCAAAGTATGTGCCTCAGATAAACATATCTGAGATTGATAGTAAAGCACAGTTTATAGCTAAAGAATCAGTTCGCTCACTCTGCGTCGGCACTTCGATCTCAATGTTTCAGTTTATAAATACATTGAGCAACTTGGATTTGTATCCCTGGCACATACAGAACCAAATTATAATAGCCCAAGAACCCACTGAAAATTTTTACCCTCATCTGATAACGAAATGAAATATACCCCAAAAGCATGTAAAAACATTGTACTTTTACCAAATCCCAATCCTGAGCAAAGTGCTTAAAAAAATGTATTTCATATTAAAAAATTAGATAAGGAATGACAGCAATAATTTTCCAGAAAATAACATATTCAAATCTATCTTGACATATCGTTAAAGGGAAACATTTTCATCCTCTTAACATCGCACAAAAACATCTAGCCACGTTTAATAGGTAAAAATCATTAAAAATATGAATCAATTTTTGCTGATTTAAAAAATTATTTGTATGCCTATTGTTGTGTGATTCATTTTTACAGATTGCCATAGAAATGACAAAAAAACTACTATGATTATGGTTTAAAAGAATTGTCTAACAAGAGTTAATAATTATTATTGACTATCTCTGCAAATGGTTTATAAAATTTCATTTACACATACTCGTTCACATGGTTTAAAATGTAGGTAAAAATATTTGAATTTGCATCCCTGGAGTGGATGTTATTTTGGAACATTCAATTGGTCCGAGTGAGCTAACTGATTCTTTAGCTATAAACTGTGACCAAAGCATGAAACGAAGACTTAGGGTTTCAGTTCTATGCACGATAATTTGGACGATTTAATTTTAGTTTTTGACTTCTGTTAATAAAACCTTTTTAATTCATAATATTACGCTGCTACTCTCCTACCTGCTATCTGCTACTTTCCCTCTCTACTAACGTGTTTATCTCTGTTGATGATCCCTTTTTATGATAAAATTTCTCTTTACCTTTTTTATGACTTGACTTTTTTGTTTCATAATTTCCAACAAATTCCAACTACAATTCCAACAAATTCTTTATATACAATATATATCTAAAGCTTCGACTTTCTCTCTCCCTTTCCCCTGCCTATTGTACAATTCCCATTCATAATCCAAAATCCTCAACAAAAAAAAAAAAAAAAATTCCAGACGTTACAATTTTTATACCACCCTGATCTTGCTACTAATATAATTTTGACAACTAAATTTTTCCCTGACGTATTTTTGGATGCACTTTTTTAGTTTTTGACGTTTTCTAGATGTTAAGAGGAAGAAACTTCTGTTCATTCACATAACATTTATTGTTATTTCCCTGTTTTATGCTTGATAATAGTCTACAGTGGTCGAAACAAGTCACCCTTGCATTAATATCTCATTCAAATAAAAGTCAGAGTTATCCGTGATATAAAAAAACCGAGGTATGATACATAGCCGACGGAATCTCGTCGAGTTCGCGCAAGACGTATTGTGGTGTGGAATATGGTTAATCTGATTGGCCATGAGCTGATTAAAATTAATTTTCAGCGTTGTTTTCGATCAGCTGATACGTCAAATTCGTAAAAGCTACGCCTTCCACCACATTATGTCACCGTGACGTATAGTACAATCTACGTACAGTTCATCAAATTTCTAGAGGTGTTCGACGCCCAGACAGAGAACGCGCTACGTGTGACTAAGATAGCTATTGTACAGTCTGCTAAACAAGTTATTTTAAATAGTTTTTAATATTTTTAGGTAATTAAATTTTAAAAGTGTGGAATAGTTTAGGGATTAAATTGGCCTGATTGGACTTTCTTAGAACGTTTTTAAAAGCAGCTAAAGATAGTATGTAGAATTGAAAATAATTATTATGCCATAAAAGGTGTTTTGGAATTCCTTCAACCTTTTGAAATTGAGTCAGAAAATATAAATTTTATAGGATAGCGGAAAATACCTATAATTTTTTTGTAGGCCTTTGTAAATCGTGGAAATAGTTTATATTTTATTTCTACCTTATTAAGGAAAATGGTACCTATTATTAATAACGGTTGTTTCTGAAACATTACTAAAATTTTCGAAATTTTGTTTTTCTACAAAATAATAAACTATACTATTTAGAAAAAAATTTATTTCTCTTATAATTTTATAAAAAATAACAGGGGAATATTTACATTTCTTGATCTATTAAACAAAACGATAAATTATCTCGACGAATGACACCATGTTCTAGTACGGAAGCTAGCTTTACATTTTTGTTGGTGGTTTCATGGGTTTCATATCAATTTTTTGTAATTGTAGTTTACACGTACATATACCTCTTAACACTTGTTTGCTTTATTAAAAAAGTGTGTTGTTGTGATTTACGTCGAAATAAGTCAAAAACAACTTGAAACCCCATATAAAATCAAAAAGGAGAAACGGAAAAAAATTGAGCCTGTAAATGAACACAACTCAGAAACAAAAATAGCTATCTAATAATAAAAAAATAAAATTTGATTCTTGTGCATCTTCGTTGTAAAAATAGATAATACTTTTTTGATCTTAGGTACAGATATAATTTTAATGGTCTTCCGAAAAACTTTCTTCAGTTTCCATATCAGATTCAAAATCAGTCTCACTGTCACTGTTTAAGTTAATTATAAATCTATCAGTTGCCTCATCCAAAGTAACTTCTCTGTCATAAAATTTAGATTCCCACATTTTAGCATTATTACAACGAGATTGCCACTCCTCTTTAGAAAACGTATCAAAAAAGTCTTCACACAACAGTTGTACGTCTTGCCTCTTAAATGTAGTGTTGTTATTAGCTACATATTGTTTCAATGATGCCCACACTAATTCGATCGGATTAAGATCGGGATAATACGGTGGCAAACGCAAACAACTAAAACCATGTTCATTTATCATTTCTTCAATTGCATACCTCTTAAATCGTGACTTATGCAATAGCACTAAACTGTATAATTGCGTTTTGAGCATATCCTCTTCGTAAGCAATATTATGATTCCTTAACCAATCCTGCATGTCAGCTTTTTTAGAAGTTGACGTTGGTGCTTTATTTACCTGGACATTATGGTAAGGAGCATTATCAACAATAATGACGCTTCTTGGAGGGAGGTTCGGAAACAGCTTTTCTTTCAACCATTTAGAAAAATTATTAAAATTCATTTTATCGTGGTAGTCTCCACTTTTGGTTCCAGATTTGAAAATTAACCGGGCATTCGGAATAAAGCCCATTTCACCTCCTGCATGGACAATAATTAGTCTATCACCTTTATTAATTGGTTTCTTTAATCCCTCATTTGAATTATCACTCCAAGCTTTCTGGTGTGTGTGGGAGGCATGAATGTATGTTTCATCTAAGTAGACAATTGGACGGCCCTCTGCTCGATAACTTTTTAAACGAATCAGATAGTCTAAACGTAGCTTTTGAATATCAAACCTTTCCATTAATATTTTTCTGTTTGTTTTTGTTTTCCGCCAACGAAATCCTAGCGACTTTATTATTTTTCTTAAACTTTCATAGCTTCCTTTGTACCCTGTAGCTTCTCTAAATTTAGTCAGAATTGTTTTTAATGTTGGAACAATATTTTCCGAGATTAACATGAACAGAATAATTCTTTTTAAAATACCTTTGTCAGCTTCATCTATATCATTAACTGTTTTTGGTTTTTTAATGGTTTTTCTTGGTGATGAAAATTCCGATATCTCACGGTTATCGATTCTTTTTTTCTCTCCAGAAATGCGGACGACAGTGTTTTTAGATACTTCTGTGGCTGCAGCAACACGATCATTTACATTTTTAAATGGTATTGAAGGTGAATTAAAGTTTCCTTCTCTTCTCATAAACTCTATAACATTGGCTATTATTTCGCGAGATTGACTGTTAATCACGCGGCCTCTTAATTTGCTATTAAACTCCATACTTAGGTTCTATTAAACTGTAATGAGCAAAAAACACAAACGAAAATAAAAGAAATGTTTTAGCGAAATTTACATCTGACATTTACGTCTGAATAAAATAGTGAAATACTTGATGCGCAGAGTGTACTTTCATTGCGTAAATCCGTCGGCCCCGCCAAACGATGCCTCTTAGTAGTGCTTTCTCTGTCTAGCCGTCGAAAGCCTCTAGAAATTTGATGAACTGTAATATCATACATTCTTTTTATAGTATCGTGAGGTGTATCTGCGTTTTAAAATATACAGGGCCCTCCATTTGACAAAAAAAGGTAGGTATATGATCGAGCAGAATTAATTAAAACGACCTGCACTTATAATTGAATATATTTTTTCATGATAGATAGGTCTAGGTACATCTCTATTATACCCACTATTTAACCTGTAGCTATCATGGAACGTCAGCTATGAAAAAATTGCAGAACCCTGTAACCCTGCAGGATATTTTTTTTATATTTTAGATGAACGAATCTTTGGAGAAACTCCATCAAAAAGTTGGCAAACACTGTTTACCTCTAGAGCTTGGAGGAACAATTCCAGCCAAACAAATGATGGACCTGTGGAGGGAAGAACTAGAGGCTAAAAGGGAGAGACTTCTGTCCTTCGATAAAATTATTCTTCTCAGTGATAAGGGCATAATTACAAGAAGGAACTCTCCTAGAAATGACGAAACTGGCATCGGAAGCGTATCGGGCAGTTTTCGCAAACTTAATATTGATTAAGTGTTTGTTTAATGTAAAATAGTTATATTTTCAAAAATTTAAAATTACTTCTAATAAAAAAAAAAAAAATAAAATATACATTTTTTTAACTATATCTACTAAGGATTTTATTTTTGTCACGTATTCTATGTATTGAGTTTTAAAAACATTGATAAAATTTTATAACCTGAATACCAGGCATTCGCGTTAATTGTGCTACAATACAAATTATTTATGGTTAACAGTTTTATCTTTAGTTAGGCTTTTCAATATTTCAAAAGTTTACAACTTGGGTTCGCAAGATATATTTTAGTCGAAACATCATCCTTGTATAATAGACGTCTTCCTGTATAGCACACATCTAAAAGAAATTATAAATATGGACGTTAGTTTGAATGAAAGTCGCCGTCATATTTTGTATTCTGTTATGCCCTGAAATGTTTAGTTTCAGAAAATTGAAATAACAATTTGTTTTGGAGTAAGAGCGAGCGATATAGATTATTTATGTGTTGCTTGGTTTGTGCTGGTTCTTTAATAATTCAAAATATTAGGGTCCTTTGTTTTCTATTCGGAGAAGATATCCTGACTGTGTTGTTTAAGGATGATTAGATATGTAACTTCGTGTTCATTATGCTCCAGTGATTAAGCCAACTGTTAAGAATATTTTGTTTTAGTAGGATTACACACTAAAAAATACATTACGCTAAAGATTATATTAAGAGGTAACATAGAAAGCATTTGCCGCTGCGCGAATTTTGCCAAAACCGAAAAACTCGGTGGAAGGAGTAGAGAGATATCCTGGGCCAGACTTAAATATTTGTATAAAAATATCGCCATGCTAAGCTTATGTTTTTGTATAAAAGTACTGTGTATAAAAAAAATTTCTTTTCGGGGTAGGAATGTTACTGATACATCGTACTAATAATTTAAAATAGTAAAAGATGTTACGGGCAAGTTTGTGCATTTTGCGAACATTTTTTTTAAAACATTGCACATTGGCGATATTGTCTCAGGGCGGTTAACAATAACGCCATATATTATTCGAACAAATTGTTGTTTTTATCGGAAATTTTACAAGGAAAGTCAGTTTTTCTAAATTAACGTTTATTCAAATAAAAAGAAAACATAAACATAAGTAGTAATAAAGAAGCAAACAATTTTAAGGAACAATATGGACAAATGTAACCCTCGAATTTATCCTTCTTGGTTAGTCCCAAGCAGTCGTCGTGTAAATAGCTGTTGCAAACCACGCGAAGACGCAGGTTTCTTAGACTTGAGGGTAGAAGTGTTGCCTGTTAGATCAGACTTGGCGAGAAGGTGTTTGGTAACAACTTGTGCTCTGGAATTGATTGCTGTTTTTCTTGGCCTGGTGTCATAATATTTGTGTGCCATTTCAGGTGTGGTAAGCATATCAGAAAATGACGTGTGTTGATTTTCTTTACTCTCTTCGTCCTGTTCGTCTTCTTTGGCGTCACTATCTGTATTATCGTCTAAACATTCGGACGGCAGGGATTCACTTATGTCACGTAACTGAATTCGTTGACGTTTTCCAGCAGCTGTCGAGAGATCTGGAAGTGATGTACGTGAAATAATGGGTCGACTGTTGGAAGGACCTGGAGGTTGTGTCATGACTCGTATCTTGCGTAGGTGGTTGTTAGCTAGGATTTTCTTTTTCAGTTACACTGCTTGAAGCATATGCTTCGGGTGGTAAAATGTTCGGATTGAACGGATAAATGCCAGTTGCTGCGAAACCAGATTTAATGTTTGATGGTGTAACACATTTGTCCCAAACTACAGAAAAAATGTTTCCAAAACGTTGTTTTGTTATAGCACGATCCTTATGTGTTGACCAGTATTTAAGAACTTCGTTATCCCAATAGTGTTCAAATGAGCGAAACACAGACCTATCCATAGGCTGTAATTCGTGCGTTGAATTGCTTGGCAAGCAATATAACATTATACCCAACTCTTCTGCAACCGTGACAATAGAATAATCCAGATGACTTTTAGCACCATCGAAAATTTAAAGAGATTGACCAGCAACTTTGTATTTGGCAAAATGATGCAGCCATTGTTAAAAGCATCAATGGTCGCACTACCTTTCGGAGTCATTAACACCATACTAGACGCCGGAAGTGTATCTGCCTATTCAGGCTTCATCCTTCTTCCTTTAAATAAAATTAAGGGAGTAATCGCAGAACCCAGGGCATTGCCACAAGATACTATTGTGACGTTTTGTCCATGCGCATTTGCCACAAGGTGCACTTGCTTTGCTACGTTTTTTGCAAGGACTGGTTGTTGGTGGTGTAATGCTAACCGACAGCCTTTCTCATCCATGTTGTAGATATGCTCAGACTTGTCCATGATGTCCATGTTAGCAAGAATTTCGCCCAATTTTTCAAAATGGTCACTTACAATAATAGACCTATTTAGTTTCTAAGCTCTTCCTCTTTTTCTAAATTAATAACTGATTTGCGAACTATGACAGATTTTGTTGTTTGATGGTTACGTAAGTAGTTTCTCAGGGTCCTACAAGGAACCAAAAATTTCTTACTTGCTCAATTCACAGACACGCCATTTCCAACAGCTGCTAGGGCACGCTGCATATTTTCTTCCGACCATTTCCCTCTGATACCTCGGTTTCTTGCTTTATTCATGACGATTCTGTTAAAATAATAAACGATTCTTTAGTATAAATTCAAGAAAACATGAAAAATATTCATGTCTGGCAATATCGCCATTGGCGATATTGCTAAGCCGTTATTTTGGCGATATTACAAACGCGCACATCTCTACTGTTTCTTGCTTACTTCGGTAAAAAACATACGATTTTTAAATGTCTATTATTAGTTGATAGCTCATTCTTTACTAAAAACTACTGCTGATAAAAAAAAAGCATTTACCTGCACAATCTTTGAAATATCCAATAAATATTGCTTAGATCGGTGGTGGTGGCAAAGCAGTTTAGGTGGGAAACCAACTGCTAAACTAAAATGTGATGTCAGAATTTACCACAAATTGAAATTGTAGATTGCTTTTACTATTGGGAAAGTACCCCAAGCGCCATTGGTCTTTCAGAAACCGAACCTTCCAAGATATGAACCCTTGGCGTTATTGCCAGCTTGGCGATATTGTATTCACCTACCTTAGTACTTAATTTTGGTAACTTTTATAGATGAAAAATAATGAGGAATTTTTTGACCTCTTTTGTTAGCACGATTCATTTATGATGAGGGTAATAACCCTTTATCAGTAGACAGTAGATCTAAGTAGAAGTTTAAAAAATTATTGTAACAAAAATAACTCATTGTATCTTACCTCACAAAATGTTGCATTAGAATAACATTGAAAATAATGTTACCAATACACATTATTTTTATGATCGACCGGTTTTACAAATTATTAAGCAAAATGTTAATAATTACGCTAAAATAAAATTATAAATTTATAATAAAGATTAATATTGAATAGTCTAAAGTAGCCATAGTCAATTTTTTTTTTCGGGCCACATACGTGTGTTTGTTATATTACACGATCCGCAATATTTTTGGATGACGACCCTTTATTTAGGCCATCCATTTAAAATTAGTTAGTGGAAATCTCTACGAAAAAAAAAAAAAAATACAAAATAAAAATATATCCCCTCGGATTACTGCAAACACAAGATAACTCACATTTTTAGAGTTTTGAGAAAACGCTGTTCAAACGTTTAAGGTTGAATAAAAAATCATAGCATCAATCTGCAAATCAAAGAGGTGAGCAACTTTTAGAATATATTTTTAATAAGAACCTTATTGTGCAAAATATTGGGAATACTCCAACATTTGTAACAAGGGCAAGAAGTGAGGTATTAGACATCACAATAAGCACACCGAGCATTAAAGATTTAGTTAAAAACTGGAGGGTATCGAGTGAACCATCTCTATCTGATTACAAGATAATTGTGTTTACGTTAGAGAGCGTCATTCCTGAGACGATCCTCAGGAGGAATCCTAGAAAAACAGACTGGGACAAATACAACACCATTCTAAAATAAAATTTAACACGTATCCAGACAAAAAAAGGTTCGGGGCACCCACTTGCTCTGGAAAGCGATCTCGAAGAACTAAATGGGGCAATACTTGAGGCATATGAATCAAGCTGCCCCATTCAAAGAAATAGAACTAGTAGGGATACTCCTTGGTGGAACCGTCATCTGTCAAACTTACGATCCGAAGTGCGGAAGCTCTATAATTGGGCCAAGCACAGCGGAGATTGGCAGAGCTACACCGAGGCGCTTATGTAATAATTGGCATTATTATTAATTGAAAAAATCTAAAGAATTTACCAAAAATTCTAAACAAGTATTTAATGTTTAAATTAAATAATTAAAAAGACACTTATGACAATGAAACAAACCTTCATTTTATTAATTTACATTGAACGTGACATTGTAAAATACAATCAACAGTCACATAAATTTTGGTTTATATAGAAAGGATCACTTGGCGGAAACGCTCAGTCGGGTTCGGACTAAGGTCCAGAACTTTCGCCCCTTGGGCGAAAGTTCTTGTTTTGTATTATAAGGTAATGTGTAAAGTTTTTTGTGTACGATGTGAATTATGGGTAAATATTTTAACTTAATTTTGTTTAATAATAATTGATTAATTGATTTACATATAAATGCCAATTTAACATTTTCGTCCCGAATTATATTTTATGCTTATCTTTATTACTATTAGTTATAGTGCATTATTCTCTAAATGGAATTTTATTCATTTTTTCTGAAGACTATTTGTCAAGTTTTTTATTTATTGTTAATATACATTTGTTAAGGTTTTAATACTTATTATTAATTTCTCCTCCCTTCCCAAACCAGCAAAATACTCCGAGCATTTGAGAAGCCTCGGCGTTTCTATTCCCTTAGGACTAAAAGAGTCTAAAACTAGTTGCCAAGAACCGCTCGACATATGCTATTAAGGGATGTTTTTTTGTAATTTATTATTTTTCTTTATTATTTTTTTTTTGCCACTGGCGAATGG